TCGGGCGCGCTTAGGATCTGTAGTCCTTCTTGCTGTAGGGTTTGTTGCCCAGGATGCTATCGATCTCATGGACGATGGAAGACGACAGCTTTGGAAGGACCTGTCGGGATAGGGCAACACTGGGAGTTGGGATCGTGACTGTGGTGTGTGTGGGAGGACGCAGCCGGCAGTGGGATGCAGCCGTGCCGCGCTCACCGCCTCCACCCCGCTCTGTTTGTGCCACAAGCCCCAGCTTGCCAGCTGGCTGACCCAGTTAGGGAGAGCCTGGGTCGGGCCCAACCCTGCCCCCTCAGTCCAGCAAAGCCCTGTCTCTCTTGCCTTTCTGACAAGCAAAACCTGTCATGTTCGCGACCCTCTTTCCCCACCCAGCGTGGTGCAGCAGGGAGTGCTCAGGGCACACGTCACTCCTGCTGGGAGCACTGACCTGTATTGCTCCAATATTCTCCATCAGCTGGTCAGCATTGGAGGCCCCCAGTAAGACTGAGCTGACACCCTCGTTGCGCAGGCACCAGGCTGGAGAGGAGGGAGAGCAGAGCCTGAGCATGGCCTGGCTGCCCCGGTGTCACCCCCAGCAACCCCCTGTCCGCCATCCTCTTACCGATGGCGAGCTGGGGCAAAGTGCAGCCCAGGCGCTCGGCAATGGCCTGCAGCTCCTTCAGCTTCGCCTGCTGCCGCCGGCCCTCCTCACTCAGGATCTTGTCCTTCAGCCACTGGTATCCCTGGGGGGACGGGAAGGAGTGTCATGGGGGGGTTGGGGTGTACTGGCACCTTGTGCAGGCAGGGCATCCCCAAACTCCCTGGGTTGGTTTGTGAGGCCCCTGGCCCTGCTCCCCCAGCTCTGTCCATCCCACTGTGCCCCCTGGCCCCAGCGTGGCTCACCTTCAGCGAGGCACGGGAGTAGGGGGGGATCCCCCCGTCGTACTTCCCCGAGACGATGCCACAGGCCAGTGGGGACCAGGTCATGGCTCCGACACCTGGGGACAGAGCAGAATGGGGGGTGATGCTGCTGCTGCCCCCAGCTTCCCCAGGGACCACAGCACCTGGCTTCTGCAGTGCTGGGCACACGGAGCATTGTGCTTTGGGGGCTGGGGAGGGACCTCCACCACTGTACCTATCTTGTGGAAGAGCTCAGGCAGCTGCACCTCCACCTTTTCCCGCTGGAACATGTGGTACTCGGCCTGCTCACAGATCGGCGGGATCAGGTTGAACTGCCGGGCCACCGAGTACGCCTCCTGCAGAAGAGCCGGGACCCTCAGTGCCACGCTGCTCCCCCTGCTGAGCCCCCCAGCCGAGCCCTGAGCGGCTGCCCCAGGAACTGATTAAGGCTCAAGCACATCTGCACACGCTTGGCTCCCAAAAGCTGCTGTCTAATTAAATCAGCATCAGCAGCACCACTGGGGCTGCTCCACTGCGGCCGCCCCGATCCCCTGGGCCCCTACCATGATCTCCATGGAGCTCCAGCGCGAGGTCCCCCAGTACATGGCCATCCCCTGGTTGATGACGTGGGTCATGGCTCGCACCGTCTCTGCCGGGAGGGAAGGAGAGAGTGGCCAGAAGGGGTTAGCAGGGGCTGCACCAGCACAAGGGGTTTCGCACCGCGCTGATGGCTGGTGAGCATCCCACTCCCGCAGCGCCGTGGCGGGAGCTGGGCTGTGTCCAGAGGAGCAGGATGGGAACAGAGGGAGCAGCCACTCAGGATGTGCCGGGGACCACAGCCAACCTGACATGCTGGCGGTGCCGGGGCTCTCCTGGCATGGAGAGCAGCCCGAGGGTCCTGGCAGTGGCCCCACACCCTGTGGGGTTACCAGCACCGGCACCGCTGCAAGGGAAGGGACTGATGCATCGCCCATGCACGGAGACCCAGGGAGGGAAGCCTGGACCCCGTGCAAGGGGCTTGGGAGTTTTGGGGGGAGCCAGCCCTGAGCCATGCGGGCTGGGACCAAGCCAAGACGCGCTCCTGCAGCCAAAGGCGGGCAGCGGGGAGAGCGAGGGGCGCGGGGCTTGCCCGGCCGGCACTGGGGCACACACCCCAGCATGCTCACAGCCGCCCTGGCAAGGAGAGCCTGCCACAGACCCTGGCATGGGCCAAGGGAGTCCCACGGCAGGGCCCTAGAGGGGCAGGAGCCTCTGCTTTTTTCCTTTTAACTGCAGGACAGTCTGAAGGAAGGGCCAGGGGGTGTTTGTGTTCTGCTGCCGCTGCCTCTGCATCTCATGGCGGGGTTTGCTCGAGGGGGGATCAGGGATGGGGGGTCACAGAGGAGTGAGGGCTCTGCCCCAGGAAACGCCGCTGGGACAGGCAGCGGCCGGCGGGCAGAGTGCGGGCAGGGAGTACCTTCTATGATGAAAGTCCTGGACTTGGAGGAACTAAATGGGTCCCCTGGTGATAAAAGAGAGATTTAGAGAGAGTGGAGTCACCGCTGCTGGGGTGGGAGCAGCGACCTGCCACCGTGCCACCAACCCACCCCACCATGGCCTGAGGGGGTCCTGGCGCCGGGCGGGGGGCGGCGGAGGCATGATCATGGCACGGACTGACCGTGGTGGCGGAGGAGCGGATTCTGCTCAGGAGGGAAAATGCCCTTGAAACACAAGCCTGGCGCAAACCAACCGCGACGGCGACGAGAGGCGGCAGGAAGGAGCGTGGCACCGTGGCACGCACCCACCTTCCATTGGCGTGTTGGGGTCGGGCCGGTTGGCGAACACGACATCCACGTACTCGAGCTGCAGCCGCTCCAGCGACGCCTTCAGACCTGCCGCAGGGACAGGGCCGTCAGGTCAGGGACCCTGTGCTGCCGGCAGGGAGGCAGCTGCCGAGGCACAGCCTGGCACCAGGGCCAGCAGCGCCCACTGAGCAACCCTACCCCTACCTTTCCCTACCTTCTATGATGTGTTTTCGGGACAGGCCCCTTTCTGTCTCGGCCCTGGAAAAGGAAAGGTGGGTGAGAGCCTGGCCTGTGCTGGCCGCTCCATCGCGGGGCAGGTGTTACCTACTTTCCTCCCCAGAAGATTTTGGTGGTGATGACCAGGCTGGACCGTCTGCAGGGAGAAAGAGAGAGTCACTGGTGGTGGCACCTGCGCACCCTGCCCGCTCCCTGCCCACATGCATTCCTGCCCAGGGCTGCTCTGCCAGCTTTCCCCAGGCCACCTGGTCTGTGGTGACAGCTTTGCTAAACAGGAGTGATGTCCAGCTTACCTCCACCCTTTTTTCTTGATGATGTTCCCCAGCACCACTTCGGCCCTGCAAGGGAAGGGGATGTCAGCCGCCAGTGCCCCAGCTGCTGTGGCCAAGGGACCAGTGACAGCTGGCAGGGACAGCTCCAGTCCCTGGCAGACTAAGAGGCAAAGGCAGTGGCCATGGGGACACTGTCTGCCCCTTGGCTGCAGTGCCCAGAGCAGAGCTGACCCCTAATGTGCAAGCTCACTAATTTTAAGTGAGTGCATGGACACACAGTGATGCCCCAGGCCAGTGTGCCTTGGGCACAGCCACTGCTCACCGTGCTGGGAGGGTGCATGGCTATGCCTGCACAGCACAGGCCACCACAGGAAGCATGGGACTGCCAGAACCATGACCCCTCCCCGTGAGCAAGCACTCAGCCCCATCCTGGAAGCCACTTTGCAGCCAGAAAATCCAGGAGATTCCCAGTGTTGCTGTGGTTTGGAGGTGCAGGGGGCTGGGGTGCGGGGTGCCACTGCCAAAGCAGGGTACCTACTTGCCAGCAGCGTAGACTTCTGCTGTGTCAAAGAGATTAATGCCGTTGTCATAAGCTAAAGTCATCAGCTGCTCCGCCATCTGTGAGGAAAGAGCAGGGTCGGCGAAGGGGGTGGCCAAGAGCCGGGGCACAGGCGCGTGTGCAGAGCACTGCTGAGCTCCGGCAGGCCACGTGCACCCAGAGCACAGCCACGGCTGTGCCAGCCCCGTCCCTTCCCCACTCACCAGGGAAAGGCTGGGGAGGGACAGGACAACAGGGTATAACCTTACCTCATCTGTGATCTGCCCTCCGAAAGTCACCCATGTCCCTGCAGGGGAGAGAGGGTGTGTGCACGGTGAATGCGGTGAGAAACGAGCGCCGCCGCCTTGAGCCCCCGGCCACCC